GGTTGGAAGAAGAAGCGCGTGCTTATGAGGTTTCAATTAGGGGAGTCCTGTCTCACCTGAAAACAGTTCCTGAAGTTGTCAGTGATCCTGATTTCTTTAGACGGTGCACACAACTCCTTATGGAACGGCAGGATGCACGAGAAATGTATGCAGCTCTGAAGGATCAGAAGGAACAGCTTCTACCCATTTTAGAGCATTTTACTAGGGATTTATGACTTGTTTATTATATTAGACAGTTCCATATGTGTATGTTTTATGTGACCAGTGGATTGTTATATGAATCAGACAACTCTGTAACTTTTATAAATGTTTCGTAATTTCTACGTAGGAATTCTAAACTTTATGTGTATGTGCACAGGATAAAACGAATATGGATGATGAAATTAAACATGTGGAAGAGCATGCTAAGGGACGGAAAAAAAGAGTTAACAAAGTTGCAGCATTGGTTGGTGCATACGCTACTTTGAACTTGTGTAAGGAGCCTCGGCATACAAGTGCTTATACAGGCTGCATATGGGTAAGGGATGTTTTAGATGGCAACTCCAGTCGTTGTTATAACATGTTTAGGATGGAACGGGATGTGTTCTTAAGTCTGGTGGAACAATTGCAACAACATGGTCTAAAAGAAACTAAAAATATAGGGATACATGAATCAGTTGCAATGTTTTTACATACCGTTGGGCATGCACTTAGTAGCAGAATGCAGCAAGAAAGATTTCAACATTCAGGGGAGACAATTAGCAGACATTTTCATAATGTCCTAATGGCATGCTGTAGACTTGCCATGTCTAATATCAAACCAAAAGATCCAACATTCCGGCATGTTCATACAAAAATTCGGTTTGGTAAATACTGGCCTTTTTTTAAACATGCTATTGGAGCAATTGATGGCACACATGTTTCCTGCGTTGTCAGTGCAACAATCAAACTAAATTTATCTCTAGGAAAGGAACAGTGTCACAAAATGTCATGGCGGTTTGTGATTGGGACATGTGTTTTACTTTTGTCTTGGCCGGATGGGAAGGTAGCGCACATGATGCTCGGATATTTGATCATGCCCTCACAACTCCTTCAATGAACTTTCCCCATCCACCTGAAGGTATTTTTTTATTTCCTATATTTTTTTTATATTTAGCTTAACAATAGAAACATAATTTACAATAATTTCATTTTTTATATAGGAAAATATTATTTGGTGGATGCTGGATACCCAACACCGAATGGATATCTCGGCCCATACAGACGGGAGCGTTACCATTTGCCTGATTTTCGAAGGACATCTGGGTTTGAAAATGACAATGAAATTTAATTATTTCCATTCAAGTTTAAGGAGTACAATTGAAAGAACTTTCGGAGTTTGGAAAAAAAAGTTCGCAATCTTACAAAACATGCCATCTTATGATTTTGAAACACAAGTTAAAATCGTTTGTGCAACGATGGCTATACATAATTTTATTAGAACGACATCTATTACTGATCCTGGATTCGTTCAATTGGAAGAAGAAGGTACTTATGCAGAAGATGATGATGATGGGGTTAGATTTTCACATATACATTCATCAATTCAATCTTCATCTTACATGACTCAGGTTCGTGACAGCATAAGAGACGAACTTGTTAATTCAATACGAGGATAGTAGTCATGTCTTATTTATTTCCTTTTATCATAGATTGTAATATGTAGTTAAAAACAAAACCTATTACAAATGCTTTGTATCGATGCATCATCTTAATGATTATGACACTTCTTTATTTATATTTCTCTTATTAATATTATGCCTTATATTCTCAAGCTAATTATTACTTACTTGAATAATTAATAAATTATTTTAAGACGTGTTTATTCTATTTTGCAACAAAATAGTTCATCTTCTCTAAAAATATTTTTCACTCTTATATTTTATGAATATATATGTGTGGTGACAATTAATTAATTAATTGTATTAAACATCAGAGGTTATTATACATGTAGTATGTTATTACAAAAAGTAGTTATGAAAAAATGTTATGGGATTTCACGTTTACAATCTTTAAACAAAATTAATATTTTTCTGTTCTAAAAAAATCATTTTTCTATAAACATATTTAATATTATGTTTTATAAATATATGTATACATATTAATTATGTATTAATTATATTATCTTATATATTATTAACTATGTTAGTAAAAATTATTTCATTAACAATTTTATTTCTTCAAATCAAAATAAATCATAAAATCTATCCCTTATATAATTATCATATTAACTTATACCCTTTTTGATCATTTCTACATGTCAAAAGCACTTCTAGTAATAACTATCCAAACACTCTCACTTCTCAGAATCACTTTTTCTCAGAATCTATTCTCCACAGAATCTATTCTCCAGAATCACTTTTCCAAACCACGGTTTGAAGTCATTCAAACACACCCTAACAACAACAACAAATTGTTTTCCTATGATAAATCCTATATATCAAAAACTTGTGTGTTGGGCGTACAAACCTTTGACTCCTGTAATCCTAAAGCCCACAAGAAGCTCAAGACTACCGCTGCCCAAAAACCCTCCAATCCAATTAACTTGGTCCGATCCGATGAAACATAAAGAGTTGATGGCGTCATCATTGGCTCTCTATCCCCCCCGGTTTCTCCTACAGTCATGGCTTACTCAATACGTACAGTGTAGGATGATCTTGTTGCCCCTGGTCTGGAGATAAGACTTCTGGAGAGAGGAGGATTACAGTTTGGAGAGGTTAAGATCCATGCAGTTGCTTAACATACTTGGACAATGAGAGTTGTACTCTAATTTTGACTTAGTTATAGAGTTGTTTTAAAAAAATTTAAAAGACTTGTATTTTGTGAAATCAGAGAGTAAATATAATTTATATCAGTAATTGTAATTTTTTAATCAATAATAGTTTGTTGGTTACAAAATTGTTGGTCTTTGCATGGTTTATTTATCAAATTTGACATTAATATTCGCAATGCAATTAAAAAAAAAACCACACAATCACTTGACTGTTATTTAAAATGACAGTCAAATATGGTGCATTTATTTGACTGTTTTTGTAAACAAGGTTCAAGTAAGGTGCTCTTATTTAACAATTATTAATAAATAATTGTCAAATATGTGTTTGAAAGACATATGAGAAATCATTATTTGATAGTTTAGGACTGACAAATATTAAAAAATTTTGTAGTAATGGCATTATACTTAGCATTACACACACATATATATATGTATGTATGCTATTTCATCATTGATTTAACCAAATAAGTATGATAGCAAAAGTATGAATCTTTTAGTATGAGTGGGAGAGACCAATTCTCTTGAGCCTTGCTTTTATTGAAACCATGGCCTTTACTTTAAAAAAAAGAAGCTATGTATAGAGTGAAACAAAAATCTCAATAACTAAAGGAATGTTTCTAATAACATGATGAATCAACATAAATATCCTAACTATGGGCTAAGCAAATCCTTTTTTTTTTTTTAAATCTTGAATAGCTATATAATTTAACCAGATAAAATGAATATACCATATAGACAATGTTTAATGGTTATGGAATGAATATAACAAGATAAAAATTAAAATAAGCCAAGGAAGTAGTTGAAAAAATGTTATGCAATTTTTTTTTAATGAAAGACAAATTTATTTAATTATCACAAAAAAGACAAATGTATTACTAAATAAATAAAACGGTGTACAAAAAAAATTTCAACTGCTAACCTACTAGGGCAAGCAACTATGGAACCCAAGTTAGAGTAACAAACTGGAAGTAAAAATAAATGAAAGCCCAGTTAACATAAAAGCAATTACAAGGAGTAAACAAAAACCATGAAATGGCCAAGAAGAATTGGTCTAGTTTAGAATTGAAAAAATAGGCCGGTCCATTTAGGTCAAAAAATTATGAGGACCAAGCTTAGAATTTTTTCTTTTAAATTGAAAACAGGGCTTAAAAAAATTGATCTTATAAGGCCAAGAGGTTAAACATGCCAATCTTGCATGATTAATGGCTGACTCATTTAAGCCCTTTTATAATTTTTTTAATTTTTTATATAAGTATAATATTATTAATTTTTTTACATTGTCAGTGATATTTCAAATATTTAGCTATCATTATCATTTTGAAATTAAAATTCATAAAATGGTTTGATTTATTTGGTTTTGGATAATAATTTGTTCAATTAATAGCTAGAATATAAAATTTAAAAGTGAAATTTCTATGAAAAAGAAAAACTTCATATTTTTGCCACTAAAGAAGAGCATACTTATAAAGAAGAGCAATTAATAATAGTGATGATGAAATATCAAAAAATTGATGATAATATTTGTCTTTGTCTTGTTGATAGATATTTTAGATATTCTTAGATGTTGATGAATGTTTAAATATGATGATGTTTTGAATTTGTGACTTGATTTTATTCATATCTATGTCTTTTATTAGTAATTTCATTGCTATATTTCAACCTTTTTTTTTTTATAAAGCATATGGGAAATATAAAAAATTGCATTTTTTTTCTTAAATAAGCCGAAAGCTAGTAGGCCAATCTTAAACCTATCAACTTAAGGGTTGAGTTTAGCAAAATGAGATATTTCTGAAATTTCAGCCCCGCAAGACCAACTTATATTCCCAGCATTAGTCTAATTGATATCCAATCGACTCATAATTCATGAGGTTATGAGTTTGAATCCCATTGCTAATTTGTTAGTGAGTGATCCATAAGTACCTGATTCTGATGAGCTTGGGGACTTAACTCATTTAAACTTTTTAACCCAAAAAAAAAGCCATAAAACCTAAAAAATGTTATGCAAATAATAGAAGAAAAATGAATTTTTTTCTCCACATACATCATATTAGGCTCAGTGTGGCGGGCCTCAATATATTTGAAGATTATCCAAAAAAATATTAGGGCCCACAATCTAGAAATAAATTATTCAAATTCATAATAATTACATTAAAATATTTGCCCTACCTTGGTCCCTCAACTGCTCCGGCGCACTCCTAGTGTGAGGGAAAAGCGCGAACGAGAAGCACGGGAGCGAAGAACGGTGAAGCCGAAGTCACAGATAGAGCAGAAAGAAGAAGAAAAAGAGAGAATGAAAAAGAGATCTCCAGGAAAAGTAACAAGGAAAGATGGAAGAGGGAGAAAGAGAAATAGAGACCCCAAAATAATTCAGTCTTCGCTAGCTTCGGCGGGTAAGTCATTTTTCAGTCCCCCGTATAGTTCTTGTTTTTCTTTGTCTCTCATTTCAGGTCATTTATCGTTATCGATTTTCTTGCCACTCCATTCTCTTGATTCTATTTTATCTCTCTGTTGGCTTTTGGGGTAAGGCGTAGGTTTTAGGATATGGGTTTTTCGTTGTTTTTGAATGTAAGTCGTCGATTAGGTGTTCTGGGGTTTCCGTTCCGTGTTTATGTATTTGTCTGCATAATATATATATATATATATATATATGTATTATATACATTAAGAAAACAAAGAGCCCTTTGCTGTTGGAATTTACTTCACTGATGTCTGATTGGAACGCCTAAATCCAACTTGCCAACACTGTTGTTTTGAATGAATAAAAATATTGGATGTGGCGCTTCAATCTCACATGACCTGTTTTGTCCCACATTGATGCTTTTGCTTTAAGAGTTTTGCTCACCTGGACTAGCTTGCATTAAGGAATCAACTTTATGGTTCCTGTGAATTATCCTGTCCCTCTCTAATCTATCTCCTATCTGTGAGAAAGCTAACTTGAATGTCAAAACTCAAAATTACCAAATGGAGTTATCACCCAACTTTGGAGTCTGGACTCTTCATCCGTACTTGTTATTCCTTGTGAGATTTCTTTGTTTCTCATAAATTCATTCTGTATTTACACCCAACTTGTCAATTGACAAATAAAGCCTAGGTACATTGTTGGTCAAAACCAATTAAAATGGGATAAATGCATGTGATCAGTGAAACTCTCCCCTTTCTTTTATTTTTCTTAGGAAAATTTTTTTTTTCTTTTTTATAGATCATTAAGAATTGATTTTATATGTGCTGAAGAAAGATATAAGACAATTGTAAAATACAAGCATATAAAGTAACATGTGCTTTATATCAAATTTATCTGTTTAGTTTTAATAAGCTGAATCTCTTTTAGAATTTATCATAATAATTTCCACGATCTCTTTCTCTATTTATGTGCTACATACATTAGGGGGTTTGAATGTTGTTCAAGAGGTTCAGAAGCATGGAGACGCACAACCTTTAGAAAATGGTTCAGAATCACCAGAGGACACTGTAGCCTCTGTTTCAGAGATGGTATTGCAGCATGTAGAGCACATGCAAGCTATGGCAAGGGGGATTGTTCAGTCTGTACAGATGCTAGTGACGCATGCACAACTAGAATTTGCCAGCTTCCGACCACCAACTTATCTCCTCTCAGACATAGACAATGACTTACAGCAGCTCATCTATGTTCAGGAGCAAGGAGACGCGCAGCCTTCAGGTGATGGTGCAGAGTCGTCGGACTTATCAACTGCGGTGGAAGATGGTGATGCTCAGCGCTCTCAAAAGGATCATGTAAAGCGCCTTTGGGATTTTTTGCAGCAGTTCCAAGTGCACCTGGAAGCTTTCATTAGGTGGATTCGTCGATGGTTAATGGTGATAGCAACACATTTGAATCTAGACCTCAGCAAGATTGCACCATCAGCAGATGAGTTTCTCTCAGACATGGAAAACGTTTTCTAAACACCCCTTAACCTTTAGCCTTGTTTCTTTCAGCAGCTGATTTCCTCTGACACAAGGAAGATGATATTTCTAAAACACCTTTGACCTTTAGCCTCTTTTGGTTCAAGTTTCTAGTCTTTGGTTTTTTGTTTCTCCTTGCTTAATGTTTTCCTCTTAGTCTCACATTTTGTTTGGATGTCTGTAACTACACAATTAATGTGCTTTCACTTGAGACAGGTTTTTCTGATATATGTGATTCAATAGCAATAACTCGGTTTTTACATGTCAGCGTATGTGTGCAACTACTGCCTTCTGTCCCTAAGAGGTAGTAGACTAATTTGAGTAGATAGATTAAGAAAGTTTGTTAAATTAGTTATTTGTGATAAATAGGTGTTTTGTTCTCTAGAATATTTTTACTAATCATATATATTAGTTAGAACTACTAATAGAATATTTAGTATGTATAACTATTACAAAGAATATTTTAAAAAAAAGGATAAATATGAGAAACAAAGTCGATTAGGTTTTATATTTAAAATCTAATTAAATGTCAAACTAGCTTTTTTATTAAGAATTTGAGGTAGAATTATTTTATACCTTAGTTAAATTTGTCAACGGGTATTACAATACGAAACTGATCTAAGTCATAAGAATGAATATTGTATTCCAACAATCTTGATTTGATTTCAAGCACCGTGAACGTGAAAATCAAATCGAACTGTAAATCTTGCCTCGGTCATTATTACCTTGAATGAAGAACCAAAGGTTTACAAATCTGAATGAGTTTGAGGGTTCCGAGTCATGAGCCATTTCATTTCTCCTGCATGCAGGGTGCTGTGTATTACAAGCGCATGCTTGCTTATTGGATCGAATACTAGATAGCAACAATAACAGGCTCTCATTGAGAAAAGAAATTCAGGTAAATTAATTAGGTAAATTATAGATGAAAAGTAAACCATTAAATCATGACGAAAATAACATAATAAATTTAAAGAAATTTTGTTATCAAAACAAATGTAAAGACTTTAAAATAAATGTTATGGAGTGTATGTACTTATCTACTTCATACCCAATAAGAGTTTCATATTTCAAAAACTTCTAAAATAATTACGCTTAAATTTTAATTTTTTTTTCCTTAAATCCCAAAATAGTCGTTAGATCTAGTTATATTGGATTGTTAAGAGGAAAAACGACATGTAAGACCACTAAAGAAGCCAAAGATGTTCCGCGAAATGACTAAATACTAATCAAATCCAAAGATGTAATTAAAAAAATAATAATAAAGTCCAACGAAACTTAAATGTAGTTAAATTAAAATTTTGAGCATATTTGCATAAAATTTCCTTCATTTCTTTAGACTGAAAAAAAAGTGCTTTAGACTAAAAAAAAAAAGAATAAAACTTAAATCAAATTACTATTATTCTTTATGTCAAGTTCTCCAATCTGTTATGTGTAATTTTTATTATTAATAATTGTCCAACAAAATTTTGAAATTTTATCAGTGTAATAAAAATCTACATGACACATATACTCCTCCGGTCCTAATTATAAGACCCAATTGACTTATTTGAGGAGATTAAGGAAGTAAGTTAAGTTGGTTATTTATAATAAATAAGTGTTGTCATTCCTAAAATATCCTTGCTAATTAAGTATATTGGCTAAAACTATCATTATTAGAAGGATTATCTTGGAAAAAAATGCATAAATATAAGAGACAAAATGGATTAGGGTCTTATAATTAGGACCAAATAAAAAGTCAAATGGGGTCTTATAATAAGGACCGGAGGAGTAATAAATATAAGCAATTTGATTTAGTAAATTTCATCTTCAAAAAAAGGCTTTCTGAGCCACAATCACTACCGTACAATGGTTGGAGCTATCTCCAGCACCCAGAGAACGGTGCTTGAACTCCGGTCACCAACCACTGCGACTCGGGGATGGTGGGCGATGATTGGAGCTCTAGGCAACTGCGGAATTCTTCAAAAATGGCATGGGTGAAAACGGGATTTGATTTTACAACATTTGGTTTCTTCTTCTTCTTGTTTTTTTTTTTTTTTTAAATGATGACTGAAATACACTACTCAACGGTCAAGAAGTACAACCAAGAAAACAAAAAAAGAAAAAAGAAAACCTAAATTCCCTCATCACCATCGGCCTCCTGAGAAGGACAACATTTGGTTTGTCGAAATGTTATATAATCACTAGGCCACAAAAATACTTTAACGATGCTGGCTCCAATACTTATTATAAGTTTCAAATAATTAATTTACAGATAACAAATAAGTAGTTAAAATTAGTTAAAAATAATAAAATGGTTGTAAATATAGTTTCGTCTCCGAATATACCTTTATAATAAATGAGAAAAAAATAAAAGAGAATGTATTGGGAAGTGTGACAAGAGAGCATGACAAATGAGAGAGATTAAACAACTAAGAGCAAAAATAAATAAAAATACATTAAATATTTAGACAAACCCCAAATTGAAACTTATAAAATGGACCACACCTAGCAATCAATCTGATCTTGAGGGGATGAGATGTTGATTATCTTTTTAAAGATTTGATTGACGATACTAGATTATTGCTCCACCGAGACTGGTAGGTTAGACTTAGGTACATTAGCAGAAAACATATAAGATTAGCTGAATTTTTTGCTAGAACATCTCATGATATAAACGATGTCTATAGCCTTCTGGATCAACCTCCACCAAAAATTCCTGAGGTGGATGTTGAGCTAGGAGACTAGATTTTGTATTTGTAAGTTGACTCTTTAAGAAGCTATTTCAGTTTTCTACTTTAAAAAAAAAAAAATGAATCATTCCTATCTCTAAATTTGAACCTTATAAATAAGACTAGATGGAGTATAATTTAAAATATTATATGAAATAGCTATCAAATTTCAAAATACATGAAATACTTAATTTAATAATTAACCGCTTGAATATATTATAGGTAGAATCTCATTAAATTTGGTTGACGTATCAAAATTCAAATAAAAAACCTGCACTTTTAACAAATTCTTAATCAGCCCAACTGACCTTATTAGGGATGTTTTTAATTAATGTTATTAAATAACTAAAATATTTTTTGAAGTTAACAAATTGATGATTGCTTCAATCAAGTTATGACCTAACTATTGTTCCCTTAGATACCACCAAATAATCGATTGACTTCATGCTGCTGGGGAAGGTGTTTGGGTAACTAGAAAAAGCACTTCCGCACTTCAAACTATGATTTCACATCAAAATCATCCAAACAGCTACACATTTTTAGAAATCAATTTTTTGTTTCGATACATGGTTTGAGGCTGGAAACGAAGATTTTCAGAAGAGTAAAAATTTTTGATTTTGAGATGTCAAAAGGAGGCCAACTGAATATGGATAGAAATACCCTCAGGTTTGAAAGCAAAGCAAAAGGTATAATATGTTTATTCAATTTTTATAAAAATATATTTAATATATATGCACACTAATTATTAATTAATTATATAACTAATAAATTGTTCTTACTCAAAAAATATTATAAGATATCATATTTAAATCTTTAAAATAAAATAATTATTTTTCTAAAAACATATTTAATCTTATATTTTATAAATATATATACACATAATAATTACAAATTAATTATATTTTTATTTATTATTTGTTATGTTGGAAAAATATACTATTTACAAATTTATTATTCTGAACAAAAATAAAATTAAAAATTTATCTTTTATATAATTATCATATTAACTCATGTCTTTTTTAGTAATTTGTACACGTTAAAAGAATTCTGATAACAAGTATTCAAATATTCTTATTTTATCAAAAGTGTTTCTTTCATAAAATCTGGTTTTTCAAAATCTATTTTCAACACAAATTTTCTTTTAAAAACTATTTTTTAAATCATTGTTTGGTTTTTATTTAAATATTCCGGTTACGTTAAATCACTGGATTCTTAATCTTTTCAGTGGACTTGCCGATAAATTGAGAGCTACATTCTGACAAGTTTTTCTTAACCCTGATGCCTACTTTAGCGTCGCACTGTATATAGAAAATGGATCAAATCACAACCATCTACAATATGATCAACAGTATGCGCCACTGTTGCATATTCACCAAACTTCACCTACAAGACGCTACTTTTTTTCTTTATTTTGCCCCCTGTAAAAAAAATTCCCTTTCTTTACTTATATGCTCAATGCTTATACGTTAAATAATTATAAGAAAATATGCTAAGAAATAAATAATTATAAGAAAAAAAATATGCTTCAAAACATTATTATTTAACAGTGTTGGAATCAAGTAATTAAAAAGTCTATGCTCCTATAAATTTATTGTCAATGTAGAGTTAGTAGAAAATATTATATTATGCATTGTCAATTTTTTGCTCTTACTATTTCCAAATTTTCTAGTGTAAAGCATCTTTTTATAAATTAATATTATATAATATTAAATTTTCACGGTTCAATTTTTTAAATAACTATAAAATGTTATTTTAGTCTTTGAACAATATTTAAAATTTTCTAATAAGACTTTTTGGTCTAATTAGGAATTTACTAAAGTGCATTTCTTAATTTGAATTTTGATATTTCAATCAGAATTAATTGGATTCTCCCTTAATCGTATGAAATAACAACAAAATATTTATTATTGATAACTATTATCTGAATAAGTTGTGTTTCCACGATGATACTAATAATTACTTTAGTTTAAAAATAGCAACTTTAATTACTTGAAAGAACAAAAAAAAACTTCATAAATAATAAATACTAGAGTTAGTACCATTTTTAATTTTTGAAATTTGACCTCATTTTAATTTTTGATCTCTGCAATTTAAAATCAGTAATTTTGATTCTTAAAATTTGACCGTATTCTGGTTATAGTCCGCCTTAGATTTTTTGTCCTTAAAACAAGGATCAAAACTAAAATGAGATTAAATTTTAGAAATTAAAACCACTCCTTACAAATTTTAGAAACCAAAACTAAAATCAAATCAAATTTTAGGTACCAAAACCACTAATTTCAAATTTTAGGAACTAAAACCAAAATGAGTTCAAATGTCAAAGATTAAAAATGATAGTTATCCTAAATACTCCTACTATCTTAAATTCCTCTCATGACTTGAATATCAATGATTTATTTAATTTAACTAACTCCAATTATATGAAATGATAACAAAATCTTTATAACAATAATTACTATATATCTTGAAAAGTTAGATTTCTCGCTCTGTGATCAATCATAACCTAATTCAATTTGTATTGCTTACATTACATGTTGAAAACTCATGTTTTGGTGCATG